AGAGAGAGAGAGAGAGAGAGAGAGAGAGAGAGAGAGAGAGAGAGAGAAGAGAGAGAGAGAGGGAAAGACTAAGAAGCCTAGGGAACAAATTGTCGCGTGGGTAAAGTGGTGACGGATCGATCGATTATTCGTCACTTAAGATTCGTCTGTTTTGGGGTGTTTTCTCGATTGGACGCGCGCAATTGTCAAAGAGGAGCACCTGTCATGTCCACCGAAGCAACCCGGTGGGTGCATGCGCGGGAAAACTGGTATATATGTGTGCGCGCGTGTGTGAATCCACGCGAATTGCGCACGCATCTCTGCGTCATGACGATAAGAGCTCTCGTTTAACGAAAGCGCACCCGATTTACTCGGCATAACACGCGTATCATCTCGTCGCCGGAAGTGACACTTTGACGTCCATTTCTCCCTGTCTACCGATGTAGATTAACTTTAATCTTTATTTAGCTTACCTATTGTCTCTTTCTAAGAACTGGAAAAAGTGTAAAGTTAACCCAGATCTTAACACAGTGTTCGTGCGGAGATCAAATTGATCTAGACTTACAAATTACTTGCATTTATTAATTAAAATATTACGTAAAGAAGTACTTTTTAAACATGATACGCGCAACAGCGTCATTGATATTAATAATAATAATAATAATAATAATAATAATAATAATAATAATTACTGTATTCACACTAATGGAATATTACTTTATAAATTAATCGTCGATTTTTAAGTTAATCATAATTTTAAGTTAATCATAATTCATTTGAAATTACTCCATTTCTATTAAGGGGGAGGGGGGGGGGGATAAATGGAAAGAGGAAAGATGCCGGGGAAAAGTAAAAACGACTCCTTTTGTTCATGATTTTAATGTTCGAAATTTTTCATTTCATACAAATTAAGTGTGGGGAGAGTTATAATACAAACTTAAGATATATACATCAATATTTCGTGAAAACTGTTCACAATAGCTATGCAACTTATGTCCGTTAAATCCCGCCAGATCATCATTCATATCGTTAACCATTCTGCTACATTCTTCATTTTTTTTTTTTGTAGGATTTTTTACTGCCGTCTCTAAATTTATCTCGCGTACACTATGCAACAAAACTCTTGGCAAGTCATTCGAATAAATATAGTTATTATTTTTTTTTTTTATTGATTTTCCGTGATTTACCCGGCACTGTGGTGCCGATCTTTGCGCTTTTCGGAGTGCTCCCACGGAATCGGAGAATCGGCATTTCGAGCTCCGTCGCGCGTTTCCCGCGATCTTGCCTCGCTTTTCGGAAGTCACGATAATTTCGAAGGGAGAAACATACATCCATCTTCACCAATGTTCATTAACTTTAATCTCGCTTCAATTTACTTTTATCCTTTTTTTTTCAATTTTCAGAACCAAGAGAAAGCTAAAGAGTAAGTTAAACTGAGACTGAAGTTAATCTTCTACATTGGTAGCAATGGACCTTAGACGTTCGACGAGAGATACGCCACGTTTTGCGTCGCGGGACGAAGCTCTGCGCGCGAACGAGTCGATGCGCCAGGGTATTTCTTCGATGCCTAAATCGTTCACTTTACAGGTGTTCCGGAACCGTGGTCTGTCCCTTGGCCGCAAACGTCCACACGGCGGACGATAAGAATCGCCTTTGGCGGAAGCTCAGTAAGTTCTCCCCGAACGACGACATTATTAAAGACGAAGTCTCGTTTCCGGAGGTCAACGTCTTCTTTCAATCTCTCTTTGGGACTTTCGACCAGTGGTTTCGAACATCCTGTATATCGTGCAGTTCGCCGACAGGACTCCCGCGAGAAATGGACAGAAATTGTTGCTGGGACCCTCGCGCGGAGGACCAGACGGCGAGTTTCTCGCTCGTGTGTTGCACGTACGCGGGACGGAAATCACCGGATGTGGCCGGCCTTAGCATTTTTCGACTCGTTCGTGTGAGAACCCGTTGTTCCGTGTGTCGTCATCCAACGGCAATTCGATTCGAATCAATTAACGCACCGATAATACAAAGCGGATTGAACCGCCGCGCGCGAGGCGCGGTTCCATCATTTTGGCTCTCGAAAGATGCCAGCACACAGCCGTGGCGAATCTCCCTCTCGTGGCTATTTCCTTTTTGTTTTAACAGACCTGCCGTCGATCTTTACAAACGGATAACAAAAGGCGACGCAACAACACACGCACACAACAACGAATAGAAGCCGCACGCTTTGTCCCTCTCATTCGCGCGATCGTAGTCGGCGCGACTGGAAGATTAACAACGATGAGGGGGGTTTGATCGTTAGAAAAAAAAAAAGATTATATACAAATTAAATTAGCGTAACAAAAAAAAAAGAGAAAGGAGAGGAGAGGGAGGGGGGACAGAGAAACGTCGTCGTGAGACGGATAGACTCGCCGATTCTCCGCGCTCAAATCGCAGTTTTTCGATTATGTACAAACACATCCTCCTCGCTCGCGTGCGGAACCGCGTTATCGGTTATCGGCACGCGTGTGATCACCGCGAACCGCAGACAGGACGGACGGACTGACGGTCCCGTCCGTCGACACGCACACATCATCACGAGACACAACAACTCGCTCTTACGCACTCTCAACGCACGCAGCTCACTTTGTCGTTACTCGTAGTAAATCGTCAGCAAATGTCGTCGTCGGTTTCATCAACCCTTGGAATCAACTCTTTTTTCCTCTCCCTCTTCACCTTGCCCTTTCGTCTTGTCACCGTCACACTCATACGCGTTCCGCTTTTTCTATTTTTTTTTGTCGCGTGGCTCTTTTTCCTCGCTTTTTTTTCTCTCATGCACGATTCTCGAATAAACAGAAGCACGAGCACGGCCCGACTTCGGGGGGGGGAAGGGAGGGGGGGACAGGGGCAAAAGCTCGCGTGTGGAACGCGACGAAAGCACGTTGTTCCGGCGAAACCGCGAGACGGATGTCAATATGTGAAAAAAGTGACATATCAAAACACTTCGTCGCGGAGCACAAGACGTTTTGCACGATTGGCCTTCTCGAAGCCCGGCCGAACAGTTTGCGATTTGAGAGATGCGCCTAGGCATATTTGGAGGAGTTTGTGGCGGATCAGTATAACGTTCGGAATCGAGCAAATGGATCGAAGCGAGAAAATGGAACACGGAATTCTCCTGTAAGGAGGGAACAGCATTTACAATAGTAAAAGCGATAAAATAAATATATGTGAGAGACTTCGTCATGCGTCGGTTAAAGATTAAATCTTTGACGACGACGACGCTAAATCTTTTACAGTTTACCGGTTCACCGACAGCAACTTGATATATATTTTTTTTAAATCATTTGAAAGGAACAATAAAAAATTAATGACGCGTTGACTCAACGATCCGGATTCGAGGAAAAATTAACGATGTTTAGCTACAAAGGTTGATTTCCTCGACACATGGTAACATATTTTTGCTATGATTTTCGCGTTAGAAACATGATAGAAATTATATTTATAATTCTATTTAAATAGGACCCGTAGCTGCACACGATTTTTACATGCAGAGAGAGAGACAGAAAGAGAGAGGGAGAGAAAGCTGCTTTCAGGACGGACGCTTTTAGGTATAAAAAGGATAAAGAAGCAAAAATCTCAACTATTGAGAGTCGCTGCAATTCGCATAAAGAAAAGAACATCCGACAGGAACATCCGAATAGTCCTTAGGAAAAAATCGCGTCTCGCGAAACCGTCTCGCGAACGCGACGATTGCACAAAATCGAAGACACGATCGAAGAGAAGACCGATGGTTAACGTCGGCTCCAAGGGAAGGCGCGGGGAAAGAGGGAGACGGAGAA